TGCGTCGCCTGTCCGTCCTGCTAGCGCTAGTGCTCGTAGTTCGCGCCAGCATCCTCCTCCTGCCCCTGGCACGCACCGGATGTCTCTACGTCCGTCTACTGCTCCTCTGCGTGCCCCTTTGCCTTCTCCTCCTGCGTCCTCTCTTCCTGCTCTCGCCGACCCGGAGTCGGACTCTCTTCGTGCTGCCAGTCCTACTGTCACCCGTCTCCTTGCTACTGTTGTCACTGACCCTTCTTTCGAGTCTACTGCTGCCTCTGCTCTCGTCACTGAGCTCGTCGACTTTGCTGCTCGCTGTCGCCTAGACTACGCTGCTAGTCTTGTCGCTGAGTCTGAGTCTGTCTGTCCTCCGTCCGTCGGGGGTGAGTGTGCCCTTGGCACGGACGTCCTTGAGGACAGGCAGGAGGAGTTCCAGTGTCTGGCAGCTGCTTCACCTCATCTCGTGTCCGTACTGCTTACCCCTGAGGGAGACCCGGATGCACTTGACATCCCGACTCCGCGCTCTTACGCGGAGGTGATAGAGGGTCCCTACTCCTCTCAGTGGCAGGCAGCTATGGATGCAGAGATGGCTTCCTGGAAGTCCACAGGCACCTACGTTGACGCTGTCCCCCCTCCTGGGGCGAACATCGTCAGTGGCATGTGGATCTTCAGGGTGAAGCGGCCGCCGGGTTCTCCGCCTGTCTTCAAGGCGCGTTACGTGGCTCGTGGCTTCAGTCAGCGACAGGGAGTTGACTACTTTCAGACCTTCTCCCCCACCCCGAAGATGACCACTCTTCGGGTACTGCTGCACGTTGCTGCTCACCGGGACTACAAGCTGCACTCTCTCGACTTCAGCACAGCTTTCCTGCAGGGCAGCCTGCACGAGGAGATCTGGCTGCGCCGCCCACCTGGCTTCACTGGGTCTTTCCCTCCTGGTACCCAGTGGAGTCTCCGGCGTCCAGTCTACGGTCTCCGCCAGGCGCCACGTGAGTGGCACGACACACTGAGGACTACGCTTGCGGCTCTTGGGTTCGCTCCGTCTACTGCCGACCCGTCGCTGTTTCTGCGCACCGACACCTCTCTGCCGCCGTTCTACATCCTCGTGTACGTCGACGACTTGGTCTTTGCCACAGCTGACACTACTGGACTCGCCTACGTGAAGTCTGAGCTGCAGAAGAGACACACGTGCACAGACCTGGGTGAGCTGCGCAGCTACCTTGGCTTGCAGATCACCCGGGACAGAGCACGCCGCACCATTACCCTGACTCAGTCACACATGGTGCAGCAGGTCCTTCAGCGCTTCGGCTTCACGTACTCCTCGCCTCAGGCCACTCCTCTGTCTACTCGCCACTCGCTCTCAGCTCTGCCTTCGGATGAGTCCGTAGAGTCGAGTGGCCCGTACCCAGAGCTTGTTGGCTGTCTCATGTACCTGATGACCTGCACACGACCTGACCTTGCATACCCTCTTAGCATTCTTGCACGCTATGTTGCTCCTGGGAGACACCGACCAGAGCACATGGCTGCAGCGAAGAGGGTGTTGCGCTACTTGTGCAGTACGTCGGGCATGGGGCTAGTGCTTGGAGGGCGGAGTCCAGTGGTACTCACTGGACACGTAGACGCTTCTTGGGCTGACGACCAGGCTACGCAGCGGTCGTCACAGGGTTACACCTTCGGCCTTGGTTCCGGCTCTGTTTCGTGGCGGGCTACTCGCTCGTCTTCTGTTCTTGGCTCCAGTTGTGAGGCTGAGATCTACGCAGGGGCCATGGCTGCTCAGGAGCTTCGCTGGCTCACCTACCTGCTGACCGACCTTGGAGAGCCGCCTCGTTCTCCTCCAGTCCTGTACGTCGACAACAAGGCCATGCTGGCCTTGTGTCGGGAGCAGAGACTGGAGCACAGAACAAAGCACATTGTTCTCCGCTACTTCCTTGCTCGTGAGCTACAGCAGCGTGGTCAGTTGCGACTTGCGTACGTGGCCTCTGAGGCCAACACTGCTGATGTCTTTACCAAGGCCCTTCCGCCTTGTGATCATCAGCGCTGCTGTACCCAGCTGGGTCTTGTGTCTGTCTTGCCTCACTTGGTCTCCTCTTGACCCTCTTTGTACTGTTACATATATATATCACTGCTCTTGCTTGTTCAGACTTATATATATATATATATGTATATAAATATATATATCTGTACTCCTGCATGTGAACTGGCCTTGTGGCCTTGCACTTGTGCTTGGATTGTGTGGTGACGTTGTGATCCACCCTGAGCTTGCTTTGTTTTGCTTTACTCGACTGGTCTTGTGACCCCTAGTTCTCCCCCACTTCGCCTATGGGGGTGTGTCAAACATTATATATGTTGTTGTAGTTATTTAGGCTACAGTGGGTTAGCCTATAGGGGGTACACATTCCTAGGTTTTCATACTTGTACTCATTTCACTCTTAGTTCATTCATTCTTGTTCAACAGCGATGTGCGAAAGGTGGCGGGCGGATTGTCGATGCGAGGGTTGCGAGTGGTAACGGTGCTGACTGTGGTGCTACAGTGATATACGCGTTGAGCAGGGATGCGAAGTAAGGAAAAGGAATTTTCCTTACAGTAAGGAACTTCTACATTGGGTATATATTATAGAAGTATCAGGTGTAGCGAGAGACATTAGGTGCGAACAGCAGTCACTGGGGGATACGAGACGAGACGAGACAACACGACACGAGAATCTCCTGAGATCTTCTTTTTGCTGTTTTTTTTTTTAGGAAGGTTTCGCTCCGCTCCTTTCTTCAGGACACCCTCCTATTTGTTTTTGGGAATTAAGGGTGTAACTTCACGTCCTGCTCTACATTTTATATACATTTTTTTTGTGCCGAATACTACGCTCCTAAACCTGAGACACTTCTAGAATGTGGGTTGTGCATTTTAGAATGGTATATTGCTCTCACCCTTTATAAACAGAACTACCTTCGAGTGTTCGCCACACTTTGCAAATGTGTAAATAACGCCACATTTCATTGCAGAAGTTTATATTGATGTGATGGGAACAATCGCATAACTAAAAGGGAAAGTATATCCCAGCTCCATAGTTTCAAAAATATCTCAAAGTTAGTCTTAATTTTACTAAAAAGGTACAGCTTTCTGGAAGTTTGCTCACGCGAGGCCCAGATTATGCTCAAAACTGATCCTGCGGGGCAAAATTTTCGACACGTGTCCTATTTCTTATTAGCAATTTTTGACAGGGGCAAAAAACATAAAACCCCTAGGGGAACCAGGACACACGTTCGGGAGGGACCAACTCTAAACACAGGGACCCGCTTGGTGTTTAGGGTTGATCCCTCCCGCAAATGTGCCCTAGTTCCCGAGGGGTTTTATTATTTTTTGCCCCGTCGAAATATTTTCAAAGCGAAATTGGACATGTGTCGAAAACTTCGCCCCGCAGGACCAGTTTTGAACATACTTTGGGCCTCGCGTGAGCGAAATTCTAGAAAGTAGTACTTTTTGAGTAAACCCACGGCTAAATTTGAGAGAAATATGAAAGAATGGACCTGGAATATAGTTTCCCTAACTAAAACGCTGCTGACGAACTCCCTTCATCCACAGAACAGCAGCCGCCCATGTTCGTAATGTCGCGTAAACGTCAGCCACATATATTTGAGGCATTGTAGCGTGAATGATACCACGAAAGAGGTCCTGATATGAGACGTGTCCAGGTCATGGATATGTGGCTCTAATCGTTTTTTGCCAGCTATCCATCGTTCACGCCAAATCACGATGGCGGAAATAACACCTAGGACACTGAGACTCGCATTTTCACGACTGAGCTGGCACGTGCTAAGGATTCGGAAGACTTTCAGGGTGCACTTGTCCTCCCATCTGTGGTTGTGTGGGTGTGGTGGAGTACTGTTTCCAAAGGAGCAACGTCAGCCAAGCCAAGCCCACCTATAAGATTTTTTCCTACAAAACCCCAACCGGGACGACAAGTATAAACAGTACCATACGAATGGTCAGTAGGCGTTCACTGTATGTGTGAGTCAGTGATTTGCATTATTTCACTGTAGCAGGCGTTCTCCCCTGGACTGATTATATGTACATTGTGGACTTGCCTCTTATCTCTTTGTGAAGCTTTGCATTCAGTAGACTGTAGTCGTTGGGTTCCCTCACAATTTAAAACAGGTTCTCCGCGTTTTGTTCCAAAACGCGGGGAGTCGAACAGTCTGCAGTTTTGGTGGCAGTGTACGTGTAACTGCTCACCTTAGACACTACGATCGTTGGCCTCATAACAGTTTGGCCCCAAAATACTAGGGAAGGACAAAGTAGGTCGCCTCGCCCAATGTACCCAACCAAAGAAACTGAATAGTGTGCTGAGGTCGCAACGAACGGGACAGCATGAATGGTTTTTCCAATCCCAGGGAGACCAGTCCTGGAAATATATCCTCACCTAGTCCCAACGAATTCCCGCTGTATCGCTGGGAAGTTCAGAGGCAACGAGGGCCGTCGATTCGTCCCTGGGCACTGTATGCTGCATCCCTATCAGTTGGGAAGGCTGCAAATCGAGGAACTGGAGAAATTGCACCCCCTTCCAAGCCATCTTACTCCCCCCCACCGCTAATGTCAGCCACGCACATCAGCACTTGCTCCAGCCAAACTCAACCTCACCTTCAGCTGAAAGCTTTGGAGGATCACGGCTCACACGAACAAGCCCCGCCCACTTCTGGCTCTCATACTTCGATTGTACAACTGTCCTCGCACGTCTTCAAGAGATCACAATTTCAGTTCAGGACATTTTGCTTCTCAGATAGACGAACGAGCTTGTGATGCTTGGTCATGTTTCAGACTGTGCGTCTTATCCAACAGTCACTTTTGCGCCATCGTACTGATACAGTGATACTCAGCTTCCGTCCTCCCCTTTTATATAAGAAAGCGGCTTCTTTTTTCCCCTCGTGTCGCACAATCTGTGCAACGAGTGCCCGGCGTGAAACTGGTACCTTGACTTGACCTCCCTGCAGGCTCCCCTTCGTTATTTTGCCCAGTCGCGAGCGCAAACACAACGATGGTCAGTTTAAGCAGTATGTTCCATCGCAAGGCGCAAGCAACGCTTGTTCTCCTCCCCGATGGCTCTATGAAACTTTACACTGGCAAGATGGAAGCGGGCGATCTAAAATCCGAGTATCCGAACTATTACGTCACATCGGACGCGGACCAACCGACGCCACTAGCTTCAGACACACGATTGGAACCAGGCGGGACGTACTATTTAATTGAGATACAGGGTGAAGTTTCTGCACCGCAAATCTCCACAGCGAAGTTGGCGGGTGCGGCCACCGCGACGCCGGCTGCAGTCGAAGCTACGCCGGAGGATTCGGAGAGTGAATTCGAGGGGGTAGATGACGACCTGCTCTCGTACTTGGTGAGTCCTACTTCTTGCTCGTTTTACCGTGTGCAGTTAAATTGTATCGCCAACGTTCTCGTATTTGTTTGTTTCATTGTTGTTTTTCCGTCTTTTCCTATTTTGGGGTGTCTGTTTCCTACGCTCGCACCCGATGTGTACTTCCTCGTTGATTATCTTGGTCCTTCTGTCTGTCCTTCGTTACCTGACCCGTTTCTGTCTCCCGCCGCGCAGACCCTGAACGACACGTCTGGGCCCGACCCCGCCGTCGATAAAACTCGCCGGAGCTTGGACTCTCGCGTGACCAGGTTCGGAACGGAGGACCTTTCCGGCTCCCCCGCCAACAGCCCCGCCTTCCGCAGCTTCCGCGGCTCCCCGGGCTCCGCCGTCCCGTCGCCGGCGGCCATCGCGCCCTCTCGCCGTCGATCGATGGGCGAGTACCCCTCGACAATGAGCCCCATGGGCGTTGCAGGAGCGCACGCAGGCGGAGGCAGCGGGGACATGTTGGGCATAACAAACCCGTTTCATAGAGCACTGGGCGGATCAGGGCTGAAGACGATGCAGGCGGGCTCGAACACGGGAAGCCCAGCGGTGTCCCGGGCTGTGGTGGGTCAGCAGGGATCCACGTCGCCAGCGACGCACCTGGAGAGGAGAGAGAGCATGAGTTCGGGTTCTGCTGGGTCAGGTTCAGGTTCGGGGTCATCCCTGATGGTGTGGTAGGGACGATCCCCTGGTTGGCTTGGGTAGTTTTTTTGGGCAGTCAATTTTGTCATTTCTTGGTGGTCGGTCCCTGCGGTTGCTCGTGCTGGCTGCCCTGCCAACAGATGTGGGAGAGGGGGTGTGTGCAGTGTTCACGGAGGTTGCTCTCGTGCCGTTTGGCCTTAGGTTTCCATCTCCCCTCACTTTGTTTAATTCATTGACATCTTTCAGCTTCCTTCCATATTCAGGCCAGTGTTTTGCGTACCAATACACTATGGTACACTTTCTAGTGTGCAATAGTGGTTTCCTTCAACACCAGAATGTTAACAATACAGAGCCTGTAACAATGAGGTGGTCAGGAAACAACAGTGCTTGTCTTTCTTGAAAATATAAAGAATTCGGTAATAGAAATGACGTGAGTTGTGCTAGAAAGGCATAGTGTCTGCGTAGCGGAAACGTGTTTGTAGAAATCTTGCATTGATCATTGAAAAGTGGAACGATGACACAACGATAACTCAATGATGTGAGACAGCAGGGTATATATGCATCCAGCTACCCCTCCATAATGACCCATTCACACCAATAATGGTGTACCAATAATTGTACCCTCTACCCTCCAATAATGTTGACCTCCAATAATTATGGCCCTACAATAATTGTGACAATTATTGTAGGAGCAGGAGGCTTATAAAGAGGACTACACTAAAAACCAAACAGCACACTGGTAAACAGTATTCGTTATACTGTATTTAGATTTCCAACACTCCCCCTTGCTGTAGGTTTTAGTCAATCCGTTTTCCTTGGAGGATGGGGTGGTCGAGGTGGTATACCACCACAAGGTAGGGGTGCGCCCAAACCAAGTTAGGGTTTGGTGTTGGCCAAGCTGCTTGTCACGGTAGCACCTTTCCCCTCCCAACCTTTGGGCCTTCCAAACTCCAACCAAACCACATGCCTTCACGTTTTCCATTCCCTCCTTCCAATCTCCTCATTCTAGATCGAGATCTAGAGAGTAGTGGTTGCTGCTGAGGAAATCGTAGCAGCTCCATGGCGAAATCTCCTCAAAACCGTGGCAGAATGTGCGTATCGTCATGGCGGAATGCCCTGAGCCCACGCCGAATTTCCGAAACCGTAGACTTTACCACACGCGATTGTCAGTGCTGCTGTCTTTTTCGCACGCCTCCTGTGCGACGGCGCGAAACCGCAGTGGATGTGCGTCAGCGACGACTGCAGCTGCGGTTGACGCGAAGTGGTAGCGAATAACGCATGGTGTACGGCTGGCGCGGAACTGCATTGGCGGGCGCACACTGCACGCGATAGAAGCGACGACTTGGCGTTCGTCAGCGGCTGACGATCTGCTGCGCGCCTACTGCATCATTTTACTGTCCGCGCCTGCTCCATCTTCGTGGTCCTCTCTCCCCCTGCTTTTCTCCCTCTGCCTTTCTCCGTAAACCTTGCCTTTCCCCCCCCCTGCCTCCTGCTGGGATTGGCACAAGGCTGTCCATGTCTTAAATCCACACCAGAGGGTGATGCCAAGTCCGCTCTGACTTCACCCATGTTTCCTTATGATGATCCCCATACACTCGAGCCGATACACGGTAGCAGCCGGAGTTGCCGAACTCCATCAGCTAAAAATCTGTGCATGCCGACGCACTCCAAGTATCCCGAAAACTTGCACTCCATGTATGCAGAAATGTCCACTCCAAGTATGAAGTGCATACAAAGTATGCCGAGATGTGCATACCAAGTATAGACAAACGTGCACACCAAGGAGAAACGTGCATACCGCTTCATCACGACGGATGACGCCGATCGGCTGCATCCTTTCTGCCTACTCCCCCTACCTATTGGCAACCCTAGGTGAGTAGGTCTTCCCCTTATGCTCCTTGACTCCATATCCCACTCCTGTGCCACTAGATACACTCCACACCCCACCCCCCCCACCCATGTGCTTGTAGTGATCCGCGTACACAGCTACAAGCACATGAGTGAGTGTGGAGTTAGGTGATGCCATGTTGTGCAACACCGTTTGAGGTGGCCGCACAGGTGAGTACAACTCTAGAATAATTGACTTGGCGATCATCAGCAGATGGTACGCCCATTCCCTGCACTCCATCCACGTTCTTGGCAAGTCCAATCCGCACGTACTCCTCTCCATCAGGCATGGTGATCTCGGTGTCTCCATTAGTAATGGTATTGATGCGCGCTCCCTTTTTCAACAGCTAACAATAGGAGAGCAGGTTGTTCTTCAAGCCAGGTACGTAGAGGACTTCAGTGTAGCGAACTATTGTCCCATCAGGTGCCGTTGCTCTGATCGTTCCCGTCATCGTGCTGCCCAGCTCGCTCCCATCAGCGAGCTTCACATAAACAGGTTCGTCCAGCTCCCTTAACTCTTCAAACCAGCGCTTGTCCGAGGTCATGTGCTGGCTGCATCCACTATCCAGCATCCAAGATGACGCTTTAGCTGGTGGTAAGGTAGCTTGTGACGATCCCACCGTTGCAATGCATGTAACAGTACGTTGCTTGTCTTCCCCAGCTGCCCCTTGCTGTTTTGATGCATTGTTGTCACGCTTGGGGCTACGACTCCTTCGTGGGGAGAACGAACGACTGTCGCCGGTGTGCAGTTTTTACCTTCTGGTATGCGGTTCCCACCCTGGTGGTGACCATCCAGGGGGTGCCTTGGTACACTTGAAGAAGGGGTGGCCGACCTTCTTGCAGTACCAAGACACAAGAGGTGAGCGACCCGCACTTCCTTCCTTGCCTTGCATTTTTCTCCCCAACGGACCCCCCCTTCCCGCTATTGCCCTTAGCAGTTGGAGAAGGTGAGCGGTCTCCACGTGCTTGTCCAACCATGCGAGGTGGACGCCGGTCACGGTTATCCTTCGTGATGAGGTCGTGATACCTCTGCTCTTGAATCATCATCCGCTGCAAGGTGAAGCTGTCCGTCACGTTGTGTAACATTGCCGAGTGCCTCATCTCCTCCCAATGCGCCGGTAGTCCGGTGAACAGATTTAAGGTGAATGTGTCCTCATCCACCATCTTCCCCGCGAGTGCTAACTTGTCCCGGATTGCCGTTGCGCAGTTCATGTACTCCTCCACCCTTTCCGCATTCCCCATTTTAGGTTGTCAAGCTCCTTCATGAGAGAGACCTTCGCCACCGAATCTTTGGCCTGGTAAGTATCCATTAAGTACTCCCATGCTTCATATGCCGGACTGTAGGATTCCTGGAACATGTCCAGCTGTAGCTGAATCGTGGCGCTCACGCTGTGCAGTAGGACCCAAAAAGCGAGCGCCGCACGTTGTGAGTAATCCGCCTGTAGCATTTCCAGCCGCTCCATAGCGACGTTAATGTCACCATCTCCCATGGTAACTGGATACTGCAGGGTCACAAAGAACTCCCACAGATTCGTGACGCGAGCATTCATACAAAACCGTAGTGCCCACTCCCGGAAGTTCGAGCCATCAAACGGAGTAGTGGTGAACGCCTTGTCCACCGTTGCTCCCACCATTTTGCGTGACAGCCGTTCTTTGTCTTCTTCCGTGTATTCACGTGGAGCGGGGTCGAAGAGAGTAGGCATGGTTGACGGTCGAGGTAGCTGTACCGTGCGCAGCATGTCCCCATTCTGTCCACCAAGTTGACGTTCCAGCACTTTCACTTGATCGCGTCGCATGACACGGCTTGACTGCATTCCGTATCCCATCCGCCCCATGCTGTCCACATAGTGTGCGCCTATCGATCGACGTGGTGCACGCGGAGGTACGTCATAGCCGCCATGAAGGTGAGACCTGACCATGGGAGGAACTCCAATAGGATGGGAGTTAGTCGCAAGTCGTCGTAGTGGGTGAGCACCAATAGTGTAGGAGGCAAAACCCACACCTTCCTCGCCCACTTCACCATTTCTGTCACCCTGCTGCCCAATCTGTCCACTTCTCACTCCACCAAGCACTGCACTCCCATACTCATTATTCCTCCCCCGTGCTTCCCTTTGCATGGATGATCGAGGTGCGGGATTGGCCTTCTCCTCTCTTTGGACGGATGCATCCCTCTCTTGGGATGACTCTCCTCCTTGAGGTATGCCCATTTCCCCTTCACCATCAATTCCAGCATGAACAAACAGTCACAAGACCAGTCAATGCAATAAGCAAGGCAAGCTCGGGGTGGATCTCAAGGACACCACACAAATTCCGAGCACAAGCAAGCGGCCACAAGGCCAGTTCAAGAATTCACTAGGAAATATATAGTAAAGCACAACAAGCAGAGTATGCAACAAGTCTACAGCAACCGAGGGCCTACCTCAACAAGTCCCAATTGCACACAGAACCTGTGGTGGTCACCAAGAGCCAGGGCCTTGGTGAAGACGTCTGCAATGTTGGCCTCTGAGGCCACAAATTCCAGGCGTGCCTGGCCGCGTCGCTGCAGCTCTCGCAGAAGGGAGTACCTCACGTCAATATGCTTCACTCTGCTCTCCAGTCAAGGCTCTCGTCAGAGAAGGCTCATGACCTTGTTGCCAGCGTACAAGGTCGGTGCAGAGCGAGGCCGCTCACCAAGTTTGGGGAGCAAGAAGGTCAACGAATGAAGCTCCTGCGCCGTCATGGCACCAGCGTAGATCTCTGCCTCTACATTGGAAGTAGCCACAGACAACGACTGTGTAGACCTCCACGACACAGCACCAGCTCCCAAACTGAAGCAGTAACCCTGAGTCGAGCGCTGAGTCTCCACGTCGTCAGCGTAGGAAGAGTCGCAGTGACCAGTCAACGCAACTGGCTGAGTCCCTCCAAGCACAAGCCCCATGCCTGATGTAGTCGCCAGGTACTTCGCCACCCTCACAGCAGCTGTCCAGTAAACAGGACGGTGTCTCCTAGTCGCAACAAAATGAGAAAGTATGCTGAGGGGAAAGGCGAGGTCCGGCCGAGTACAAGTCATCAGGTACATGAGGCAGCCTACCAGCTCTGCGTAGGGACCACTGGACTCAAAGGGCTCGTCGAGAAAGGGGTCATTGAGTCTGTGGTGAACAGCAAGAGGT